TATCGATTTGAAATGTTCAGAATCGAGATTTTTTTCAACCTAGAAAATGATAAAATAACGAGAAAAAAAATAAATTTTTGACGATTTTGGAAATTTTTAAAAATCTTGAGCGACCTCTAAAAAAAAATTTCAGAGCTGATTTTTTGAGGGGGCTCTTAAAACATGATAAATTAACATATTTTCACAAGAGACATGAAAAAAAATATTTGTGCCACCCTAATGTCTATGATTCAAAAATATTGTTTCTAGATTAAACGCCGTCAGTTTTAATATTGTGAATGGACACTGGACATCGAATTCTTAAAAAAAATTGATTTGAAGTATAGACCTCAGTAAAAGCTTAATTTAATAAGGTAATTAAATTAAATTATTAATTGTAAATTGTAATCTATTTAACATTAAATATTTAGTTATCAAACTTGAAACACATATTTTGTGCTAAGAGCAAACAATATACAGGTTGTCTCACTAATGTCGGCGAGGTACGATATTACGGAAAGTAGAGGCTCTAGATTCTAGAATCTAGATCTTCGGGAAAAAAACAAGCATTAAAGGTTAAATTTCTGCATTGAAAATAATGGTATGCATTTCGAGCATAAACGTCTTTACTTTTGTTAAAATTTAATTGTATTTCTTTATATAATATCAATATCTCATTTGCGTGAGTTTAGGTAGGTTCTTTTATAAACGTATTTTATTTTGGTAATTAAATGTCTTTTCGTTAGCGTCGTGTTACTCAATTCATTATCATTATTTATTTTTGCGAATGACTTAATAACAAAAAAAGTTATCGAACCCTTTTTGGCATCAAAACGTAGCTATTTTTATGCTCTTCAAACTAACCTATAAAAGATTTTATCCTGTTATTTCACTTTTTTAAGAAAACGCGAAACAACATAAACTTGGATAAAAGCGCAAATAAATAAATGTTCGTTAGAAATTCCGAACTTATACTATATTCATCAATTTTTTTTTGCTGAATTCATTTATGTAAAGAAAGACTATATCGTTGAATTTAAAATCTTTGAGAAAAATCCATAAAACTTCTTTCTTTTGAAATAACGCCATATATAGGTTTCCATATTGAGGTAAATGACATTACGCATGCACCACAAGATAAACCATGAAAAGACCTTTGCAACAAGGTATAATACTATGGGCTTTTAATGAGCCAATCCATAAAAAATGCATTTTTCTGATCAGACATCACCCTTTCTGTCGAGAGATAGAATGTCAATAACAAAAGTTATGCGCTATGAATCCGGCCATACATATTTGTACTATTTAATATACCTGAATAGGAAACATTTCTGAGAAAAATTCAACTCGATGTTTTGGTATGTAGATTGCGCCCCTAGCTACCGAGCTACGAACTTGAAAACTATTTCCAGTGATTTCTCTTGATCGATTTATTAATCAATTTTTTTTCCCGAAGCTCTAGGGCCTATACTTTCTCTAATATCGTACCTCGCCGACCTTAGTGAAACACCCTGTATTTAACTCGAATTGCATAACAAATAGAGTCACTACACAATATAAATACATGCGAAGCTATAGGATTTAGTGTCATATTCGTAAAGCTTAGTAATGAGATAACAACAACAGGGAGTGGCTCAATGTAACGTGTCCAAAGAAACTACAAAATCTTGCAAACCAAGCCATGAATCAAAATTTTGAAGTGGAAAAACTGTAAGAAACATCTCAGCTAAAGAACAAAGATGTGGACTAACTATAAGCCAAAAAAAAAAATAGTGTCGCCTACTACTATAAATAATCCTTTCTTCCTGCGTTTCAATCTTATTTTTTCATTAAAATTACAAGGTCGATAAAAGTATGCATAATTTTTCATCTCGATGTCTTAAGAAACTACGGTGTTAATAATATTATGTACTGAGCTTCTAACACTGTTACTGAGGTTGCTGTTGCAACTCAGGAAGCTATAAAAACATAGGTTTTCGCCGTATATAAAATTTTTCCGTAGACTTTTATAACTTGGTTTCCATTTAATCTTTGGTTTCGTGTTTGTTACCTTTCTTTTCGATGTAAAATTATTTTATGTTATCCAAAACTTCACGGACTCAATTACTTAAGGGCCCCATATTCTTTAAATAGTGTTTTCCGCAAAGACAAATAATTTCAAACATTTAATAACTGACTAATCTAAAGCTTATCAAATAATAGTAATGTTATGTCATGCCATCTGGGTATTTTCAAAGACGCCGCAGTAAAACGAATAAACAGGTGCAAAAAACGATCAAACCATCAAGGTTTTAGGTACTGAAATCTACGAAAATACTAACTTTTTTATATATAATTCCACATGTAAATATTCTTATAACATTTACTTGCTTAGTCCTACATATAAAATTGTTTACTTTTATTTATAAGTACGTGAAAATAATTCTTAAAATGTGGGGTTAGAATAACAGCAAACGCATGTTTTACAAACGCTTTTTTTTAGTTATTATTTTATTTGAGTAAATTTAAATGGTAACAATGAATAAACAAAACATCAAGGATTTTATTTTTGTGCTTACTTTTGTTCTACACGTTTTACTTTTAAAGATTTCAGTACCTAAAAACGCCAGAAATTTCACTATTTCTCGGCCGGGAATATGGCCACCTTAAGAAACTACGGTGTTAATAATATTATGTACTGAGCCTAACACTGTTATTGAGGCTGCTGTTGCAACAACTCGCGAAGCTATAAAAACATAGGTTTTCGCCGTATATAAAATTTTTCCGTAGACTTTTATAACTTGGTTTAAATTTAATCTTTGGTTTAGTGTTTGTTACCTTTTAGATGTAAAATTATTTTATGTTATCCAAAACTTCACGGACTCAATTACTTAACGTCCACTTGTACATCACTACGTCCACTTTTACAGTTCCTAGTTAAAATCAGCTACGAGATATGGCCTGTCAAATGTAACCAGAAGATACTGATTTTCAGCCTCATAGAGAAATATGTACAGGGTGGGCCATTAGTGTGAGAAAGTAAAATAACTCCCTTGTTATGCATAATACAGAAAAATAGTTTATAAAAAAGCTGTATAGAATCAAAAACCCTAAAGAACAAAATTCATTTGAAACACACAGGGCGATGAGTAAAAACGGGACACGCCAAATATTACATTTTTTTTAAGGGAACACCCTGTATATTTTTGAAGATATGGATTTCTGAGAAAATTCTGTATATGGTAATATAAACAGTTTAATCGAATTTTGGAAAAAACATGACCTCGAAGAAGTTGCATTAACATTCAACTACTAACACTTGGAGAAAAAATATTTGACAGAGTTATAGGCAAATAGCCTATATTAGCTAATATCGATATTTATATACAGGGCATTTTTTATAATACGATCATTTTAAGAAAGTTCAAACTTGATTTTCCAAAATTTTTCAAATGGAACACCCTATATTTTATTGTTCTATTTTATTCACATATCAATCCACTTCAACTTTTATTAAGTATGTTCTACACCTAAAGTTGTTAAGTTTTTAAGATATAACGACATTTCTGGAAAAACCTAATTTTTATTTTCGTTCGCACGAAATGGCTTTGAAAAAAACTGTCACATTGTGTCAATTTGTCAGTTCATAATTTATCATTCCATTTTGAGTTAATTTTATTAGTTAATATTTATTTGTGGAATTCAATAAAACAATAAAAATTAAGTTTTTTCAGAAATGTTGCTATATCTTAAAAACTAACAATTTTAGATATAGAACATGCTTAATAAAAGTTGAAGTGGACCGATATGTGAATAAAATACAGGGTGTTCCATTTGAAAAATTTCAGAAAATCAAGTTTAAACTTTCTAAAAATGATCGTATTATAAAAAATGCCCTGTATAAAATATCTTTATTAACTAATATAGGAGTCTTTTTCTCACATTTGCCTATAACTCTGTCTAATTATTATGTTCCAAGTGTTAGTAGTTGAAAGTTAATACAACTTTTACGAAGTTATGTTTTTTTCAAAATTCGAAGAATTTTCAACATAACTTGGCAACCCCGCACTAAAATGATAAACTGTTTAATTTCCATATATAGAATTTACTCGGAAATCCATATGTTTAAAAATATACAAGGTGTTCCACTTAAAAAATTTAATATTTGGCGTGTCCTGTTTTTACTCATTACCCTGTATGTATAAAATTAATTTTGTAGTTCAGGTTTCTTGATTCTGTATAACTTTTATATAAACTTTTTTTCTGTATTATGAGTAACAAGGGAGGAGTTGCAAAAATGTTAAAATCGACGTCATAAACACAAGGAGAGATGTTTGGGTATTCTAAATGGTTAAATATCCATTATTCCAAGAACCCAGCAGTTATAGCACTTATAGATCCGCATCTATATATTTTCTATCTCTCCATGCTGATGTGCTGTAGTGTGTTAAAGTATACACACCTTACAGCGTCAATACAAGACCAACAACATAACTCAATGCAGAGGCGGATTCAATAAGGGGGTTTGTATAACTGGTGTCAAAACAAAAAGTTATGCAATCAGGAAAACTGAAAAATAAAATTTTTAATCTTTATTCATTTATTTTACTAAAAACAAAGGTTACGTAGTCAAGAAACATTTTTATCTTTATTAATTTGTTGTTTGATTTTGATTTTTTTTTCGGACCATTTATGGGGGATCGCCCCCCCCCCCCCCTTGGATTCGCGCCTGTCAATGCTTGCGTGGGTCCTTTTATTTTTTGCGATATTCATGTTACTGTATCGTAACGAAATTCTAACCATAAAAAACCTGATAAAAAAAATCAAAGGGTATTTTGCTCGATGTTCAGACATTTTTCTTTTGTCTACAAACAAGCGAACACAACCAAAAGCCTCGTAGTTACCTTTATTCCCCACATGTCCTTAGTACACCCGTTTCCACGACTAACATCAAATAGTCCGAACACGTATATGTATATCAAGTATGTTTAAAACTGACCGAATTCAGAACTTTACGAAGGAGATCTTTTCTGTACTTATAGGTTAAGGATGAGCGTTATAATAAGACTGCAGAACCTGCCGTGGTCGGCAAACGCACTAGACATTCGCCAGTACTTCAATGGACTCAGCATTCCAGAGGGTGGCGTTCACATCGTCGGCGGCGAGCTGGGGGACGCATTTATCGCCTTCAGGTAGCTACCAAAACTGTTTTTATGCATTTGTTTTTGTCTTGGTCCCGAGAGTGCGCGGAGCGGCACGCAAAGGCCTGATGATGGTCGCCGTCTGGGCGAAACCTCGCAGCTGTAAGCTGCAGCCGTATATAATTTCTTCGATTAAACCGACAGTACCTATCAGTGATGGTGTTAATATGTGCATTATCTTAAGATACATCTTCCATTTGTGGACTCATTCCCATGAAAAGTTTTTATTTGGAACTGCATTTTCTAACCTATAAGGGAGTAAAATAGGGTAACATGATAAAAATTTTGTTAAACTTATGCATATTTTGAAGACATAAGCAACATTGAGTAGATCTTTTCACTGTGGTTAAAAAAAAATTCAAAGTCTATTTTTCAGATCATTCCACATAGGGGTGACTGAATATTCGATATTCAGAGATGAAACTGGCAATATTACTTACCTTAAAATCACAACGAAAAGTAAAATTGTACACCACTGACTAATCATATTCCATAAAAAAACGAAGTTACGCTTTTTTCTCATAATAGAACAGAACGAAAAAAAATAGGTATATTACAGCGTAACATTGAATGCTACACTATTAATGTTATATCTCTGTTATTTTAATACCTTGTATAACTTTACGGAACATTTTTTTATTTAGGATTTTAGAGTTTATGCAGTGTCGCATTTTTATTTTAGGTCCTAGATGTCCTTGAGACGCTAGTCTTTGTATCATACCTTGTATGAACAAAAGAATTGTAAGGACACTGAAATTAATACTTTTTTCCTTGATTTGGTATTTCTACCGCAGTGAAAAAAAAAAAAAACGTTTCTAGATGCGCCAAATGAATCGGTCAAAGGGGTAATTTCACAAATTTAATTTTGCCTAACAAGAGTTATTTCAAACTGAGAAAGTATATTATTTTTCAAGACACTATAATCACTGTAACAGTTTTTATCCCGAAAAACTCTGTTCTCGTTATCGGAACTGTTCTCAAATTGATTTTGTATACGAAGTTGCTGTTTGCCTCAACTGAAAGTTTGATTTGTATACATATAGCAATTTCCAAACTGTTTCCTACTACAATGAGACCATTCAAGCTTAATGTACACTTTGTTTTCTTTAGCTATTCACTAGTTATATATTATACAGCACGTCTCAGAAATAAATGCCAAAAATTTACCATACAACAATGATTTGTTTAATTTTTTTCGGACATTACTGTTTTTTTCTTAAAAATATTATGTTTAATTAATTTTTTCAGTCTTGCTCGTAATTTTTTATTAGTTTACACTTAGCTGGAGTAATAATGAACGAAAAAAAAGCAAAAAAGTAGAAAATAAGAGGTGCTTGATAATATTTTAGAATAGCAACTGTTTAAAAATAGTTAATCATTTCATAATACATTCGCATGCGTTACTTAAATATTAGTTCAATCCATAGGCAGCTCGTTAACCTTATTTTAATGCGTAGAAAATTGCGGACAAACGCGAGGTTTTCGAAAAGAAAACGTGGTACTAATAAAAATTTTTTTTCAGTACCGACGAAGACGCCCGCCAAGCCTTCACCAGGAACAATGGCAAGATCAAGGAAATTCAGATCTCGCTCATGCTCAGTTCACGCACCGAGATGCAACGAGTCATCGAAGCCGCCAGGGCTCAGTCATACGCAGCTTTCATGCAACCCTCACCGGCCTCGGTTCCCATGCCAGCAGTGGTACCGTCCATCGTTCCAGCAGCGGTCCCGGAGATAAAGAAGGAGTCCAAGGAGATCAAAAGCGAGAAACGAGACAGCAGGAGGCGTTCTAGGTCCAAATCCAGGGACAGGAAGGACCGATCCAGGGAAAGAGAGAGAAAAGACAAGAGGCACAGAGACAGGAGCCGCTCTAGGTCCAGAGATCGCAAGGAACGCCGCAGGCGCGACAGGAGTCGCAGTCGTGGCCGCTCCCGCTCCAGAGACCGCGACCGTAGGAACAGCAGGGACCACCGAAGGCGTTCCGAGGAGAAAGCGGCGCCGGTCTTCCAGAGAGATCCCAGGAAGCCCATGCCAGAGATATGGGCTAATCAGAACCCAGCCAAGAGCGTTCTCGACGTGGCGCCTGCAGCTCCAGCTGCTAGCATCCTCAGCGGTTTCCCCATCAACTTGGAACAAGCAAAGAGGACTTTGAACTCCTTGACTGCGGGACTACAGGCCAACGGATTTGCCGCAAACACCAACGGACCCAGCTTCACGGGTAGCCCTCAGGGTAGAACCAGAGACAGCTGGCCGCCTACGGGAATCCAAAATTTCCAAGGCAGGTCTAACGACGGTTTCCAGAACAAAAGACAAAATATGGGTCCGGGGAACGGTGACAATTTCCAAGGTCGCTTCCAGCGACACAACTTCCAACGCGACGGTCATCGCAACCGCATGGACGACAACTACATGGACTGCTGTGTATCCTTAGAGCCTTTCTACGGTAGCTACGGGGAAGTGAGACGGTTCTTCCATGGGCTGTACATCAGCAACAAAAGCATTAAGTTCATCAACGACTCGAGTGGACACAGGACTGGCGTCGTCTACGTGCAATTCGCCAACAGAAAATCCAAAGAGGAAGCGATGACTTTGAACGGAGAGATCCTGAACGGCATCTCCGTAGCCGTGTCGCACGTGGACGACGGCGATTTCGAAGAGGCCGTCGACAGGTTTGTACCCAACAACATCAACGACGACGGTTTGAACGATGGCCCTATGTTCAAGAACAGAACGAAGTATTTCAACAACGCGCCAGCTGAACCGGAAGTCAAAGATTACACCTGTCTGATAGTAGAGGATCTACCTACGTACTGCAAGGAGCAGGATATCCTCCACATATTTTCTCAGCACCCCCTGGTAGCCTTGATCCTGACCACGAAGCCACGCGGCGGCAACATAGCGTACGTCAAGTTCAGCAGCAAAGACGTGGCGAAAAAGGCGTTGGAAGAGAAAGGCCACCACGTGATCGGGGGAAAACAGGTGACGGTGCGGCCGTGTAAGGACGACGATTTCGAGGAGATCAACAAACAGCACGAGGTGGACTTGACCGGTTCGAAGGATTCCGACGTCGGCACCGATTGTCTGAGTGTGGCGAGGCTCCCGCCGAAAACCAACGATAAGGACATCGCGGACTTTTTCTCCGACATCGGCGTCATACCCACCAAGATCCACCTGATGAGCAACAACCTCGGCTTCACCGGGCAGGCGTACTGCGAGTTCCTTAATGCCGATGAAGCGGCACGCGCTGCTAAGAAGGACGACACCATGCTGGGAAATATCCACATATCCGTCAAGCCCATCAAACGGGAAGAGATGGAAACCATCCTCGGGCACACCTTACCCGCTCCCGTAAATTCCTCTTCGTCGCCCGTAGAGGTACCGCCCGCGCCGGGTAAAAACCAACCGACGAATCCGCTTATGAAGCCCGGGCTTCCGGTTCCCATGAATAGTCCGTTAGGGGGTCAGAACCCTCCCATGAACGAACACAAGCTCATGAATCCCAGGCCGTTCTTCAGCCGCGGCGGTTTCGACGGCAGGCCGACGAGGGGCCCGCCGAGATTCGGACCGAGAGGGATGGGAGGACCCAGGCTTAGGTTCGCTCCGCCTCAGGAGCATTTTGACGAAGCGCCCCATCCCGGATGTACGGTGTTCATGAAGAACGTTCCTTACAAGGCGGGGACGAACGAGATTTTGGACTTCTTCGACGGTTACAATATGACCAACAACGTGAGCAGAAGGTACAACCCAAATAATACGCCCAGCGACGAGGCCAAGGTGGTGTTCTTCGATCCGGACGAGGCCTTCAGGGCGGTACAAGATCTGCACCACAAGAAGATCTGGGACCGGCAGATCTACTTGAGGCAGGAATGAGATACGGTGGAGTAACTTTACCTGTGTATGTGAGAGTTTTTTTTTTCGTTTATACGAGAGGGACGTTGTTATTTATTTCAGTTCAAAGTCTGTTTTACGAAGCGCGCATGGTTGTATATTTGAATTTTTCTAGCGTTTAGGAATTTTTATACTCTACTTTAAGGCTGTATATATCGTGACTACTATATTAGTAGTGATACAAGGAACCTTTTTCACTGTGGGTGCGATCTTTGTTTCTTATGGGGAATTTAACATGAAATATATCTGCAGTATACGTGTTAGTTTTATTTTTTTATTAAGTATTTGATAGACAGTGTTTCCTGTTGCTGCAATATTTTTTTTGTAATAAAGTTTATTTTCTATTAGAGGTAACACGTATTTTTAATGAATAATCCATCCTTGGAAAATTCACTGCGTTCTTTAAATTTTCTAAACCAAGATTTACCAGATTTCCAGCATAAGCAAGCAACTTATTCGACATAAAACACGTTTTGCCAGTACGAGGCAACCTGTTTGTTGGAATTTGGCAACTAATCTTTTCAGTTGTTTTATTCGGGGCGTTCCTTCCACCGAAAACCACGTAATTTGCGCACAGTCTCGGCTACACACTCTCCGCACTTGTAGTGAATTTTCACAATCGCTCGTTCATCCGTCATATAACGCTCCATTTTGTCTAACCGCAACAATACTGCCAACTCTTCGGAATGAAAAAGGCGCGCAATTCAAAACCTGCGTTACTTTTGGGACACTCTTTACAAGAAACAACTAAAGCGAGTCCTTTAATCAGAACACGTTGCATTTTCCAAATAATGAAAACATTTTAAAAACCTGAATTGAACCTTGCTGACGTAAATATTTATTTAACACGAAAAAAGCTTGGATTTATTTATGACGTTTTGAAATATCAGGTTATATTTTTAACTTGCTCCAGAAGCTACTAAATAAAAAAGTCATCAACTGATTACACAGACACACGAAAAAGGAAAAGTTGTCTGTACTTTTCATGCGACATATGTTATCTGTAGTATTTTTGCCTCCTGATCACGAATCCGGTGTCAGAATTGAGCTATCACATCACAGATAGATAGCAGATCCAAAATGGCCGACAAAATTTTTAAATAATAACAGAATCGCAGCAAATTTGGTATCCGGGGGTTTTCGGGGGCCCTGATTACGTATTCGAGGTCAGACTAGCGAAATTCATTTTGTAATATTTTATTTTATAACCTGAGTACCTAATCATGTGTTAACCTACTTTTTTCGACTATATCTTGTTCTTTTTTCTGTAAAAGATCTATTCACGGGTTGAATTTCGTAAATCTGATCTCGGATTTGTGATCAGTGACCTCGAAAACCCCCGTATACCAAATTTGGCGCGAATGTGTTATTTTTAGAAAATTTGGTCGGCCGCCATCTTGAATTTTGCAAAATTGACCTCGAATTCGTGATCAGCGACCCCGAAAACCCCCTTATACCAAATTTGATACGAATCTGTTTTGTTTTGAAAATTTGGTCGGCCATCTTGGATCCGCCATCTTGAATTTTGCAAAATTGACCTCGGATCCGTGATCAGCGACCCCGAAACCACCGTATACCAAATTTGGCGCGAATTTGTTATTTTTTGAAAATTCGTGATATCTGACCTTAATTGACCCGTTTTTTGAGGTTAGAAAAAGAACCATCAATTCTGACCGCTAATTCACGTTCGGCGGGTTCTTAACTATATAAATAAACATTTGAATATAGAAAAAACAATTCTAGTTTTCCTAGCACTTTTTCGTGAATTTTTGCTATTTTTTACCCGTTTTTTGAGGTTAGGAAATTCCTGTGATATGATAGCTCAATTCTGACACCGGATTTGTGATCAGGAGGTAAAAATACTACTTTTTAAAAAATTCTAAATATTCTAAAAATGTAAAAATAGGTATTTTTAATATTGATCATTGTTTATTATGACAACAAGTATCTCTAAAAAATTGTGTGCCCTTTCTAAACCTTAATTTAAACCCACGGTACGCGACAAACTTTTTGAAATTTTCTTTACATTCCTGTGAATCGCAAACCACGCGATCGATCGTTGCAAAATTTTTAGGGTAGAATTGACGTATGTTTTACTATTTGTTCACAAAGTTTCATCAATATTTATAAATATTTACTTATTTTAGTACATGCTCCAAGTATACATACAATTTTCTACTATTTCTCGTCCGTTGTTAATGCAAGATTCAATTTTTTTTATTCGCAGCTGTTGTAATTTTATAGAAAGTCCTAGCACTTTTTCGTGAATTTGCTATTTTTGACCTGTTTTTTTGAGGTTAGGAAATTCCTGTGATGTGATAACCCAATTCTGATACCGGATTCGTGATGAGAAGGCAAAAATACTACGGATAACATATGTCGCATGAAAGGTACAGACAACTTTTTTTTGTGTGTGTTATTAATGATTAATATTATATTGGTTATTGACAATCTCTTTTTAATCTTTATTACTCTGATTAATCGCCAGATTGGCGCTAAGTAATCTAAGTAGTTAAACGTAAGTATTTTTTGTGTGATACTTCATTTAATATCGTGAACGAAGCTGTAGCCNACTATGCAAAATATAATTATTATGTATAGCAAATATATCGTATTATCCTCGCGAAGATTTGTACCCTTTATTTAAAATCCATAAATCATGTGAACAGGTTAAATAACGAGAAAATAATTAAGTTAATTTAGTTCTAAAGAAATGAAATGACACTCGCGCCCATCTCTAGTCCATCCGTCGACATCGGTTGCGTTTATCGAATTCCTATTGGTCAGAATTCAAACTGCAGCCCTGTTATGAATGGAGCGTGAGTTGGACTATTCTATCATGTGCGTCGCCTGAGGCTATTCGTTACATTGACTCCTAATTTCCAATTAAAAGAATGACGCTATTTTTAACCGAACTTCATTTAATAAATATGTAGTATACAATTTCTGATTTTCTAAATATTTTATAACGCCTAAAAATGTATGTACCGTGGAATTTTCGTGAATTATCACGTAAATTTCCGATGCATATCCGACACGCCACTGCGTCATGGATAATGTATCTAGGTTTAAGAATGACATATCTATGTTCAAGGTTAAAGACAAATTGTCCGCTCTCTGTACATTATTTACGAAATGTGTATTGCCACGACATCTATCGGAACTTTCTCAAACTTCATGTCAGTCTCGGGTTTCTATTACAGATGTTTATAATCCTTACTTTATATATTTCAGTCGATATGCACAGATGTCGGACAAATAGGCAATAGATTATAACATCCGCTAGAAAGTAATTATAAAATAAAATAGATTGCGAAAACTATCATTGTGAAGCATTAAGAGTATTTTTAGTACAGATTTATATACTTTTACTAGCATTAGAAGAATTTGGATACACAAAACCTAATCCTAACCTTAATAAAGTTATCGAAATAGATCGTGTGTACGTAGGAAAAAAATGTTTGCAACAACTTGGAATTTAAGGGCCCTTTTTCAACACACCATATTTTAAATTTCATTACCCAGTGGCAGTCTAGTCAGACGCTGTGGCGTACAAAGTAATAATGTACAGCTACCTCCTCCATATAAGTCTGATTCCTGAATTAATCGCCATACAGTGAAGGGTGAAGGGTATTTTAGTACAGCTTGTTTACACGAGTTAAACTTGTTTTCTGTAAATAATAACAAACGCAAAAATCAAGAAAAAAATAATAAATCACTGTCTTTCCAGAGAATAACAGAATAGAAATTTCATTAATCGAGCTATAATCTAACAAAGTTAGTTAAGAGCTTAAATATTTAATGCACATTTCACGATTGTAACAGTTACCCCAACACACCTTTGCACTTTGCGAAACCCCCGGTTGAAACTAACACAGTTTGCGCATAGCAGGAGTTATTTAAAATTTATGGACTCGTGTATTTTGCAGCAACAGGGGCGTACTTATTCCAAAACGAAAACTGAGGCATCTCCCACAGCTGTGAAACGGTTTATTATTCCATTCTGTGTAATCACGTTCTGCAAATTAACTACTATCCACACAGTCACGAACAAATCGGCATTCGCATAAACTCCAGATCCATTCGTCGCAAATACTGCACACTGAGTATTGTGAAATCTGAAAGATACGTAATTTCATATTATTCAGCTGTAGGATAATTTTGTATGAGAGGATTAAAGAGTACGTGGTGCCTGTCAATATATAATTTCACTCAATTCCAACTTCTGCGCATTGGTGTGCCACAGGGATTTGTTGCAGGTCCGCTTTTGTTTGCACATATTCATAAATTATTCTCTGTAATTTTGAAGAATATCTTAACCATTTATGTATGTAAATAATCAAACAATTCTCTAAGTCGATTGTATATTAAAATTTAGTAAAATATTTGTTAAAACAAGTCTATAAGAGAACTTTTCAATATAATGTCGATACCACTTGCGTGGTTCTTCAAAACAAATTCGAGTAAAACATGAATTGCCTCTTGCTGCTTTATTCATTTCCATTACAAAATATTCTATCCCTGGAATGATAAAACAAAATCTTTGACATTTATATTGCGTCACCATATCATAAAATTAATTTGTACAAACAAACAGCGACTCGAACCCCAGGTATTTGTTGATTTATTATTTGTGCCGTATAAATCAATTTCAGATTCTACTTTGTGCACATATTCGTCGAGTCTATTTATAGGGTTCATCTTCTGCTGAAAGTAGATGTATTTAAATTGTAAATGAGTTCTACTGCCTATTGATCCGAAGCGTATTTGCACAGATCTTTATCAAAATACTCGTATATCCTGAGGACACAACTTACGTAAAACTAAATCATCACTGCAAGGAAAAGCACATGTGAATTATGTTTCTGCAAGGCGTACATAGGTGTACATATGACAATAAATACAAAATTAGCAGTCTTTAGTCCTTGTCCTGTTACCCTGTTTTATTATAGTCATCATGTTATTAACACTGTTGTAATTGTTTCGAAGAACAATGTAACTGCTTACATAGCTGTACTTTAAACTTAAAGAAAATATCCATACAACAAAACAAACACGTACAGACCGTCACGAAGAAGTTTGCGTTTCTGATTCAGACAGGACTGCACAAGATTGAAAACAAAAAACACATTCGGCTGAAAAGAATAAGATGCAAACGGGGTTTGGAGATAGCAGCTACCTTTCTCAGATGCAAACTTATTTGTATCGGTTCCTACAGAGATTATGGACCTCTTCTGATATGTTTTAATGTTCAGATTCAAAAACTGAAGCATTTTGAGACAGGTATTTCGGCAATTTTTGATTCCGGAGTATTTCTAATGCCATTTTCATGTATTTTTCCGTTATTTGATGTA